GATTAATCAGTAGCGACTATCAATCAACTGATAATCAATAATCAATATTGTATGGCATCTTGCCACCAACTAAACCATATTTTTATAGACTCTTGCAATTGCCCCCATCACAAAGATCATTGAAGTGAATTGCAGTTGAGTCTAATGTTAATTAAAGAATTTAGAGATCGTATACATAATATACAAAAGTATACATTTTTTTTTACTGGTTATTAATTACATATATCTTTATATCTATTTGTACGTCTTAAATTAGATGTAAAAACATGATCAGGCATATATAATATGATTGACTAATAAAATATAAATCACAAAATTGATGTGCATTAATTGTCACATTTGCTTGACAGATCATGATAATTATATTTTTGGTGAAAATATGCAAATTAAGCATGAATATGCACAGATATCATCTATATGTTTTCAAATGGTAATCATCTACTGGTTTTCAACTGGTAAATCAACTGGTAATCATCTACTGGAAACAACTGGTCTCAAATGGTCCACTCTGGTTTTATGGGTTTTAAACTGGAATAAACCGGCAGATGTATCAGTGAGGCCTATTGCTTTTAACTGGTATCAACTGGTGTAACAATTCAATACCAATATGGTTAATTAGTTTCAACTGGAATCAACTGGTTGTTTTCAGCATGCCAGTAGAGTCAATGGGTTTTAACTGGGATATACTGGTGCATGTGAAGTTTACCAGTGGTGTCAACTGGTTTCAACTGGTACCAGATCTCAGCCAATACTAAGCGCGGCGGCGGGACTCGATCGAATTGCGGACCATGTGATCCACAGTTCAATGACGTATCAACTAGACCACGACACCTCTACACTTTTTTTTTTGGGGGGGGGGGGTGTTGGGGGGGGGGGAAGGGGTTGGAAAGTTGGTATGTGCCCCGCGCTCCTACATCCGGCAATGCAATAATTATTACATAAAGTTGGTGTAGTTTCATTACGGAGGCACAATATTACTACTCACCACTTACTCAGTTTTTAATATTCCAAAATAATAAGACTATGTTTGGGGTCTCTTAAAAGCAAATGACCCCAATTATAAAGAAAGGATACCTTATTGCCATGTACTTCCATCCCTCAAATATTAGCTATACAGTGCCTATACAAAAAAAGGGCGCCCAACTTTGGTAGCTTCTAATTCAAAAAGTTATAACCTATGTAACCTCGAATCATATTCCATGGTAAAGTGTAATTTAAACCATACCATATTTATAAATGTGCTGATACTTATTACTGAGCAGCAGACTTTTCATATATTATTGTCAGCATCCTCTTTTACTAGGTATAGCACACCAAAAATGATTACATCAAACACATGTTATTTGATGGTTGCAAATGATCAAGCTTTATGAAAGCTTCAAAAAACAAAAAACAGAATTGAAATCGGTCAATGCGTTGTGATTTTATACCATTTTTTTGATATCGCAAAATTACTGAAAAACCTGCCAGAAATGGTCAAATTGTCAAAAATGGCATAATTCGACAAAGTTGACAACTTAATTCATCACTTTCATGGACACAAATAATGAATTAAAATATCAGACACTAAAATATCATCTTTGTGGTAAAAATTACAAAAAAGAAAATTCATATATCTATTACCGTTTTGAAAACAGAAGCCAACAAAATTTGTCATTTTTGCCATTTTTACGAATCTGCAAAAAAGTCGTGAAAATAACTAAGTCCGCCTAATTAATATGCGCATATGTAATCAAATCAAAACCGAACATGGTACATCAATGAAACCTATGTATATCAGACAGGTATGGAAATATATTTCATTTGTAATAAAATAAAATCATGAATATTCATCAAATATGCAAATTAGGAAAGTCAAACTGTTCATTTTTGGGGTATTTATTAAATCATAATATTCATAGATCATATTTACACCAAATATTGACCTTAAATTCTTAATATTTTTGCAATGCCAATACAATATGGCGATGGAAATTACTTGGATCACCGTCACAGCTATTTCCTGATGTGTTTCACAAATAATTCAGAAAAACCGATCATATGATAAGAATTTGTAGACTTTCAGCTACATCACAGTATATCTGCCTTTTTCAAAGATGTCAGATTTGAGGATTTATGATTATTTTCCGAGATACCATTCAACAGGCCTTAACATTCCACAGGGACTGAATTTCAGAGTGGCAGAAACTTTAGTGACCCCAGTACAGTTGTGGCTACCTTGAGTGTAAATAACAAATTTATTCAATGAGTGAAACACATGAGGATATTGCATTTTTGTAGGGGAGTTTAATAAATTTAGGTGCATTTTTTTCACCACGCAGAATAGCAGCGCGAGTCAATGGGCGATCAGCGGGCCATGTCACAAATGCTGAAAAGACAATATTCTAATTCAATAATTAACATATTTCCCACATGCCTATAACAATGAAACTACACAGAATTGTAGTTAAAGATATGCTTGAAATATATGTGAAATAAAAAATTCACAAATATTGTTTAGTTTTTTTTAAATACATTTACAAAAATTGCTATTTCTACCAACTGACTGCTGTTGTGTGTGTGTGCTCGCGGGGCAGACTGTTTGCACAGGCAGTGTGATCACCTTACTTTTACCGAGTTTGGGCTCAAACAATGAATGTGGTTCAAAAGCCATATTTCTATTCCGGGAGCCAGAGCGATCAACCTAGCTGGAAAGGAAACCAATTTTTCATGTGCACAGATGTAAAGATCGAATAACTCCATATAACAAATTGACCGTCTGGCATGATGTTCTAAGTGATGGGTGTGGCCTGGGGGATGCCCCCTCCAAAAATCGGCCCTTTTGACGACAAAATAGTATTTTGTAAATAATACTTTTAGGAAACCTTGAACCACCATGAGTTTGGTGTCAAATGAATGAAAATTAAATGATCTACATTGTGAAACCTATTTCAACGAAATTAGGATTAATTAACATCGCCAATTTAAGTAAAAAGCATGATTTTTGTTTGGTGTGATTTTTTTTTAAATATTTAATTTTATCAAAAAAGATTATTTTCCATATATCAAAATCGGAGAATTGCATTTTTCATAACTTTCCAGTAATTTGCTTATATACAAAGACGATATCCTGTGCGAGGGAGAGGTTTATATATCTTTTCAATAAAAAAGTTATAGCAATCCAAAGTTATTGAATTGATTCCCACAAAAACAACATTTTTGCCCAAATGTATGCATATAATATGTGCATTAGTGTATTAAGGACCTGTTTGGTGTGTTTACATCGAGTTTTAGAGATAACTTTTAACTAAAACCTCTTATCACCATTACAAGATCAAACACATCATCATAATATACAGGGTGCAACCAAACATTTCTTTACAACAATTGAAACTTCTTTCAGAAAGCCTAACAATAAAGGCTGTTTTTTATTCAAAGAGCATACGTAGAGACGATAAACAAATAATAATAATAATACAACGTCGTTAAGCGTGAGACCGTTCACTTCTATCTCTCCCCGCCAAATAATTCGAACAAAAGAATCAACCTAAGGGAATCATCAGTTAAACGAATTTATCATTAGTCCTTGAAAAATGAAATAATACTGGTTGTCATAGTAGTATTAAAGGCCCGCCCCCCCCCCCACTTAGTGTTATTTAGGGTACGCGTATGCATGTTCCCTCCTTTTGAAAACACCCCCTTAAGTCCGTGTGTGATAAGTCAATACGGGCCGGATTTTTGTGTACTACGAGCCGGTGAAAAGTACCCCTTTATCGGACATTTTGGGAACACGAATGAGGTCCCTCCGACCCCGGAGTGGGGGGGGGGGGGGGTAAAGGGCAGCAAAGGCGAACGATTTACACTGTAAAAAAGAATTTGTTCATTGGTAATTTTTACGTATTTTTTCCATGTAGAATTTACTTGAAAACATTAGTTTTGCCACTTACGAACTAAATTTAAGTCTTGCTAACTCAAACATTCAATTTAGTAGAACATACGTGGAATATTATAAGTAAAATCAAATACATAAGAACTTTAAGTAATTTCAGCTTGTATTAATTTAGTAATTTTAACTCAAAATCAGAAATTATACGTATTACTCAAACAATTTATGTTGATTATTCTTATCTTTTTAAAGTAAGGACCGATGCAGTGCGTAGTAGAAATATTTACATAATTTATGAATATTCATTAAGACCAAATTAAACTCTTTTTTAAATAAAACAATTCTTTTTTGTGGTTGAATGAAAATTTAAGGACTTTAAAACATTTACTAATTCAATTAACATGGCTAAGCAAAGACAAGACAATTTTTTATTGTTACCCAGTTCAAAACAAATCAAAACTTGATATTTCAGGAAATTGTCAACCAATTTTCCTTTTAAGATGCTACGATCAAGTATATATAAAATGTGGAGCCTTTCAATATGTGTCGAATTGAAGCGTATGTAATAGTTTGTGATGGTGGTAGAGATATATATATACGGTTAAATCTTAAATAGAAGTAGTGAATGATTAGTGGATGTTACTTGTTAGATTAGATGGGTACCAAATCGTGCAATATGTAATCCTATCATAGCTTTTTTTTAATTATCTAAAATGATTACAATACTTAAATTATTTACGTTAATGTAACTCGATTTTACTGAGTAAAAATTTATTCAGCAAAATAAGTAAATTCTACTTAAGATGCCGTAGGTAATATTTACTTAATAAAAATAAGGCAATTTTTTCCCTCAATTTTATTGAGTTATTTCGACTATTATTTTTTTTACAGTGTACGCTACAATTCAGAAATCTTTGCTTGGATTGCTTTTTCCTCAAAATTACCATGATATATCAAGCTACATAGAACTATAATCGACAAAAAAGATATTGTCGTGAAATCATTCAGAAAAAATTTGAACTAGAATGAATAAAACATAATGCAAATGAAAAAGACTAGATAGAATGAATAAGACACAGGTTCATTTTACCACATTAATCATCCAGTACCCATTACCAAGCAAAATTCATGCCAGATGCATAAGGGTAAGTTTAAAGACAATAATTCATGGCATATTGTCAATTGTCATGATTGTAAGTTGACACCTAGAAAAATTGCTAATTATTTTAAAAATCATCAATGAACAGTAAATTATTATACATCTTATGAAAGAGCGTTATATCCCAAATCATTTGGTATCATATTTGTGTGGTATGTGTTCACGCTTGGGTGAACAGGAGACATTGTTTGCGAGAGTGCAAAAATCGACTTGCGCCAAAGTTATGGCTACAGTATGTAATATATGTTGGGATTAAAGTGAGAGAATGATTTGAATGTATCAAATAAGATATATTATTTTTTTCTTTTTGTTTCAATTTTTTTTTGGTATTGATTCCAAACAATACAAATCAATCTTAGAAATAAAATACACTTGTTTTTCATCTTGACATGAATTCAACACATTTTCATACATAGATTGTACGAGTGATGAAAACAAAAATGAAATCAATTGTAACATAAAACAAATATCCCCATCCAACCAAACACACTACTACCCCCCCCCCTCCCCATCATGCGACACACACACATCACCAGACCACACTTCCACACATATACCACACACTGTTTCTAGACGTATTACAAAAGATAATAAGGATCAGAATAATACCCCTACTACTTCTACATGTACTATACTGCACTATATTGCCATTGATGATTATGATTATGATACTGATGATAATAATGATATAATAATAAATAAAATAATACTACTAATATTAATAATCATAATCATCATGTTCCATATTCATCATAATGATAACAATAATAATAATAATGACAATAATAATAATATTAACCATAATAATCATGATAATGAAAAAAATGAATATAATAATTATAAAAGTAATGATAATATTAACAATACTAACTAGACTTTAATTCGTCACTTTGACGAATTAGGTGATACGTATGCTCATGTGTAACATAATAAAGAACGTATTTTCACGATTTCATATTTCGTTTACTACTCCCATTATGGTCTATCCATGAGTCAAGTTTCAACTGTAGAGCAGAGGGAGACAGACCAAGAGAATAAGAGGGACGCAAGGCAAGAGAGAGAGAGAGAGAGAGGGAGAGGGTGAAAGAGAAGAGAGATAGATAGATGCAGAGACAGACCAAAAAAGGAGAGGGGCAGAACATGAGAGGAGAAGTAAAAGAGCAAGAGAGAGGAGAGAGAGAGATGCAATTGAGAACAATGCCTTCCAGATGACCATGATTGAAAGTGGTATAGCGCCCCCTTTAGGTATCCGATTGAGGATTGTTATATATGATAATTGACATGTCACCTATGATTGAATTTTTTACTATGATAACGTCATTATAATGTTAAATAGTCTACATAAATCTCGTGGGAACTTGTCTCAGCTACAACATACTCAAAAATCAACAACATCTAAGCAGAAATATTGGCGATATTGCTCAAAACACAGGAATGTAGAATCCAGATTTGAGAAAAAGTAATCTCCCATAGGGATTAAACGCAAAAAGTAATGGATTAAGTGAAAATAGGGTAATAATAAAGAAAATAGGGTTGTTTATTACATTATTTGCGATTCTACGTGTTTTAATACTCAAAGGAGATGGTACAGTGAAAGGTCAAAAAATAAAGTGAAGACAAATATTGTTGGAGACACCCGGACTCGAACCATGGATCTCGAGGATGGAAGTCAAGTGGGTTACCGATATACCAAAACATTTCCCATAGCGATTACACGTAAACGGGAAATGGAATTCTGAAATCCTACTTTGCAAGTGAAATATGAGCATAATCCCGGCATCTGATCGAAAAATGAAATGCACACGTGTGATAGATTATTGTCTCAGCTACAACATATTCGAAGTTCGGCACAAACTAAGCTAAGACAACGGAGATTTTGCTCGTGAAAGACAGGAGTGTAGAATCCAGTTTTGAGAAAAAGTCATGTCCCATACAGAATACACGCAAAATGTGAAAAATTGACATGCCTCCTTAAATCACAAAAATACGCCATGATGCCTTTGTCAAAATGAAAAATGGTGGACACTATATTTGTAGAGAATTGTTTCAGCTAGAACATATCGAAATTTGAAAGAAAATTAATCAATATTTACAGAGATAAAATCAATTTTCAAAAAATATGCTGACGTCATAACATGCAAATTAAATTTTTGAGTTTGGAGGACATTATGGTGACGTCATGAGTTAATTGAAGGTCAAATGAGACATGAAATCATATTGACGACTCATAATCTATCTAAATATGAAAAAATATTGGGAGTTGCTATCTATTCTGAAGGGTTACAAAGAATTTTGTATAGGCATGTTTTTGCTCATATATTGTGGATAAAGATAACGCAGGTCCGCGCGCACTGTCAACTTTGACGGACGCTCATTGCGTTATTAAAAGATGAACAAGTTATCAAAATGCTTGGAAAAATGTGCCAAATAAGATGATAGAGAAAATTCGGCGATTCTATGTTGCAAAATGCTAGTACGCGCAAAAAACGCGCGCGCATGCGCGTGAGCTCGATTTTTTGTCAAATGCTCCATATGGCCTGAAACGTATGCAAAAAAAAATTGGGATGATTTAGTGCATTTTAAATTTTTGCGCGCGCGTAAACGCGCGGACGAACGCGCACGCGCGCATTTGCGCACGTTTATTGACCTGAAATTGACCGGACGGATATTGTTCTTATTCATGATAAATATGAATGAAAAATTACTTTCCGTTATGAAGATATGATCATAAGTTGATTTTCACAAAATGGCGCCTGGATGACGTCACGATAATTTTAAGTCTTTCAAAAATCACTCAGTTCTAAGTTAGACTAAGATCTATCATCATTGAAAGTCTCATGACAATGGCTTTATTCAGTCTTGAGATATCCTGCGAACAAAATCGAGGAAGAATAATAGGAAGAAGAAGAAGAACTAGACTTTAATTCGTCACTTAGACGAATTAGGTGATACGTATGATAATGGTTTACATAACGAATAATGCATAGCACGATATATTATTTTGTAAAATGCTTCTCCCATTATGATCTATTCATATGTCAAGATTAAATTGTGTCTCCTTGATCATCATGGATCTAGGGAAGATAGATTGAAACAATATATGACCTTTGACCCTGTGCAGTAACCAGTTACACATTTGACTCTAATTTACATCATGAAGAACACCTTTTGACGATTTTTATCTTATTCAAAGAAATGAAAATGTAATTGATAAATGATTATCATCATTATGATAATGATGATCATGATGATCATGATCATGATCATGAGCGCGATCATGACATCTTATTGAAAAAATGAGGGTTGATTTAGATAGCATATAGTCTCAGCTACAACATACTCAAAAATCAACAAAATCCAAGCCGAAATAACGGCGATATTGCTCGCAAAAGACAGGAATGTAGACTCCAGATTTTAGAAAAAGTCATCTCCCATAGGGATTATACGCAAAAAGTAGTGGATTAAGTGAAAATAGGGTAATAATAAAGTAAAAAGGGTTATTTATGACATTATTTGCGAATCTACGTGTTTAAATAATCAAAGGAGATGGTACAGTGAAGGTCAAAAGGAAAAAAAAGTGAAAAAAAAAAGTGTTGGAGACCCCCGGACTCGAACCAGGGATCTCGAGGTTGGAAGTCAAGTGCGTTACCGATATACCAAAACATCTCCCATAGCGATTACACGTAAACGGGAAATGGAATTCAGAAATCCTACTTTGCAAGTAAAATATGAGCATGATCCCAGCATATGATCGAAAAATGAAGTACACATTGTAGATAGCTCATTGTCTCAGCTACAACATATCCAAAGCTCACGGAAAACAAAGTTAAAAAAACGGAGATGTTGCTCGCGAAAGACGGAAATGTAGAATGCAGTTTTGAGAAATAGTCATGTCCCATAGACAATACACGCAAAATGTGAAAAATTGACATGCCTCCTTTAATCGCAAAAATACGCCATGATACCTTAGTCAAACTGGACAATTATGTACACTGCATTTGTAGAAAATTGTCTCAGCTAGAACATATCAAAATTTGGAAGAAAATCAATAAATATTTACAGAGATACAATCAATTTTCCAAAAATATGCTGACGTCATAATATGCAAATTGAAATTTTGAGTTCGGAGGCTATTATGATGACGTCATTAGTTAATTGAGGGTCAAATGAGACGTGAAATCATATTTCCGACTCATAATCTATCTAAATATGAACAAATATTGGGAGTTTCTATTTATTCTGAAGAGTTACAAAGAATTTTGTATAGGCATGTTTTTGCTCATGTATTGTGGATAAAGAAAACGCAAATCCGCGCGTGCTGTCAACTTTGACGGACGCTCATTGCGTTAATAAAAGGTGAACAAATTATCAAAATGCTTGGAAAAATGTACCGAATATGATGACAGAAAAAAAATCGGCGATTCTATGTTGCAAAATGCCAGTACGCGCGAAAACGCGCGCGCATGCGCGTGTGCGTAATTTTTTTATCAAATGCTTTATATGGCCTGAAACGTATGCAAAAAAAATTTGGGATGATTTAGAGTAATTTAAATTTTTGCGCGCGCGTAAACGCGCGGACGAGCGCGCACGCGCGCATTTACGCACGTTTATTGACCTCAACTTGACCGGACGGATATTGATCTTAATCATGATAAATATGAATGAAAAATTATTATTCGTTATAAAGATATGATCATTGGTTGATTTTCACAAAATGGCGCCTGGATGACGTCACGATGACTTTGAGTCTTTGAAAATTCACGCAGTTCTAAGTTAGACTAAGATCTATCATCATTGAAAGATTCATAACAATGGCTTCATTCAGTCTTGAGATATCCTGCGAACAAATTCGAGGAAGAATAATAATAAATAACTAGACTTTAATTCGTCACTTAGACGAATTAGGTGATACGTATGATAATGGTTTACATAACGAATAATGCATTACACGATATATTATTTTGTAAAATGCTTCTCCCATTTATA